CAGTGGTAGCCGGGCACCATGTAGTTCTTCTGGTCTCGTAGTTGTATACACTGAGGATCACATGGTGTACCAGTTGCTTGGACTAATTGTTTCCATAAATCTTTGGTTTTCTTCATTCTTCTTTGCTCTGGATAAGGAGAGACCCATTGTTACATCTCGACGGCCACTTGCAAGCTTTTAAGATCCCAGTTGCTACTCGCAAAAGTAGAGGTGGAACAGTGTTTTGTGTAGTGTGTTATGCCAATTGAGCTTGATGTTCCCTGCAAGTATGGTCCTGAGCCCACAGGTTCAACTGCTTGTTCGTTCTGGGCAGCTGGCTGTGACCAAGAAACAACTACAACCTTGTCCCTTGTCAGCTCTACTATACACATGGAAATTCTTACAGAACATACAAAGACACTTGTAGAAACATTATCTGTCAACCCTATACATGGTCTTGAGCACACTCCCCCTGCGTAGACATACCTAATAGTTCAGCCTGTCCACCCATCTATCCACCCGTATAGCCATGTTTGCCTGAACTGACAACGCAGTACTGTACGTGTGCAAAAGGGTTCATCTTTGTTGTCTGTACCTCCCCTGTACCTCTCTATGCCTTCCTCTTCCTCAGTGCCACCACGTTGATCACTCACTTTTGGTATATTGTTCTTCTCTTCACCCAAATTAATACTTGTCTCTACCTATGTAACAATGTTCCCTTCCCTCCCCTCCCACCCCTGGTAACCAACAAAGAAAATTTCCTTCCACAGATAAACCTTTCCTTGACTTTTTACAATAATGGACTAATACAATATTTGTCCTTCTGTGAGTGACTTATTTCACTTAGCATAATGTCCTCCAAGTTCATCCATGTTATGCAGTGTTTTGCAGATTCTATGTTATTCATTAGGGTTGCACAGTATTCCATTGTGTTTATGCACCATAGTTTGGTTATCATTCTTCAGTTGATGGACACCTAGGTTGTTTCCAACTTTTTGCTGTTGTAAATAGGGCTGTGGTGAACGTGGGTGTGCGTATGTCTGTTCTTGTCCTGGCTTTTATTTCTTTAGGATATATACCTAGTAATGGAATGGCTGGGTCAAATGGTATTTCTAATTCCAACTTTTTAAGGAATCGCCATACTGCTTTCCACAGTGGTTTTACCATTTTACAGTCCCACCAGCAGTGTATGAGAGCCCCAGTCTTTCCTCATCCTCACCACCATTTGTTATTTCTGTCTTGTTGAACTTTGCTACTAGTGCTGGGGCAGGTTTATTTAACTCTTTACTCTACATTTTAGTAGACTTCTGATTGGTAACTTTGACTGAAGCAAAACTGGCCGTCATGTCTGGTCTCATTGTGACCCATGAGGACAGCATAAATACCACCAATTTTGTTAATAATTTACAGGGGCATTTGGAAGAATTGATTGAACAAGATGGTGACAGGATTCAATCCAGAGTTTCAGTTAGTGTAGCCATCCTTTCAAATGTCTCTTGAGCCAAGGCATAATTGCACTTAATTTTGTCATCATCCAAACAGAAACTGGCACAAAACTACTGTTTGAGTCGAGGCCAGTCATTTCCATTTAAATTATGACTTTAATGTCTTCTGGCTGTACGGATTTTTAGTGACATCCATTTTTTTTTTCAAATAACAATCTGTTATTTCACACCCAGTAAGTAACATGCTTATGGATATGCTCATTCTTTGAGATACCAGCTTCAAATACTAACCCCTGCAGCAATAGTCAGGCCAGCACAGTCTGTCTGAGATGACCCTGTAATTATGTTTTTGATAAAACTTCTAGATCCTAGGGCATCAGTAATGGCCAGTAATTCTTGCTGAGTTCAGATATCCACAGGGAGAGATCATTGGTGTTACTTACGGGGCTCATTTTCTAGCAATATATCAGAAAATGGAGCTCTGGTAGTGTAGTGTCTAAGGCACTTGACTGAGAACCAGAAGGCTGGTGGTTCAAATCCACCAGCCACTCTTCGGAAGGAAGATGGGGCAATCTACTTCCATAGTGATACTACCTCGGAAACCCAAGGAGGGGTCGCTGTGAGTTGGGTCTGACTTGACGGCACATAACAACAACAACATATCAGAAAATATTCTGTTATTATATAGAGAATTTTCAATTATTAATTTTCAGGAGTAGATTACTAGGCTTCCTAGTCTGTCTTAGTCTGGAAGCTTTGCTGAAACCTGTCCATCATAGGTGACCCTGTTGATCAGTGAAATATTGGTGGCATAGTTTCCAGCATCTAGCAGTGTGCAAGTCAGCACAACATGACAAATTGACAGACAGGTGATGGTACTCATGCTTAGCCTTCACTTTATTTAAGTCCCTTGTATGTTTGAAAGATTCCTTTTCCATCTTTGCCCTGCTTCTAAATAGTTCTCATATCAAGTCAACCTCATACGTAGGTTGTGAGTACGTGTCTGTTGTCGTTAGGTGCCGTTGAGTCAGTTCCAACTGATAATGACCCTGTGTACAACAGAACGAAACACAGGCTGGTCCTGCATCATCCTCACGATTGTTTCTACACTTGAACCCATTGTTGCAGCCACTGTGCCAGTCCATCTTGCTGAGGGTCTTTCCTTTTTCTCTGACCCTCCACTTTACCAAGCATGATATCCTTCTCCAGGGACTGGTCCCTTCTGACATCTTTGCTCTTTAAAACTTGCCGCAGATTTTCCCAGTGCAGTATGACATCTGATTTTTTGACTGCTGCTTCCATGCATGTTGATTGTGGCTCCAAGTAAAATGAAATCTTTGACAACCTCAGTCTTTTCTCCATTTATTGTGATGTTGCTTACTGGTGCAGTTGTGAGGATTTTTGTTTTATGTGGCTGTAGATTATACATATATGTGTCTAAAGGCTACATTGCAGATACAGGTGTTTTCTATTCCGGTTCTAGCTTGAACTCATGATACCTATACCCTGATGACAAAATTGTTGCCAAATAGATCTGTTCTCTTTAAATGTTAATGCTGTTTGATATTAGTGGTTTCTAGACTTGTGGAAGACACAGATCAGTAAAATTTCAAAACAATTTTACAGACTGATGTAGTGTTGCCCAATTTATATTTTGACAAGGAAGGATATTTTTTAAAACCTGTTTACTCTTTTTTCATTTTAATTTTTATTGTGATTTGAGTGAAAGTTTACAGAGTAAATTCATTTTCCATACAGCAGTTCACATACTTTGTCTCATCACATCGACTACAATTTCCCACAATGTAGCAGCTCTCTTACCACTTCCCCCCCTTAGTTACCTCTTCCCTGTGTCCTTCCTTTCTATGCACTCCTGGCCCCGAGCTGTTGCCTTGTGCATACACAGTCCTTCTATTCTCCCATGATTGAGCTCTCCAAGGAGTGTATCTACCTAATGTAAATATTCAGCTCATATGCCTGTCTTTTGTTTGTCTGGAAGCCACAGGAGTAGATTCAGTTCTAGACCTGAAGGGCAGCTAGGGGCCAAAGTCTTCAGGGGTTTCACCAGGCTCTATCAAACCAGCAAACATAGTCCCTTTTTTTTTTTTTATGATTTTGAGTTTCATTCCACATTGTTCTCCCACTCTATCCAGCATCTCCTACATAGACCCCCTTCTGACTGGTTGACCGTATTAGCCAGGCACCATCTAGTTCTTCTGGTCTCACAGTCATATAGGCTGAGGGTTGCATGGTGTACCAGTCCTTTGGACTAATTGTTTCCATGCATCTTTGGTTTTCTTCATTCTTCTTTGTTCTGGACAAAGAGAGACCCATCGTTGCATCTAGATGTCCGTGTGCAAGCTTTTAAGATCCCAGTTGCTACTTGCCAAAGTAGGACATGGAACAGTGTTTTTGTGTAGTATGTTATGCCAATTGAGCTTGATGTCCCCTGCAGCCAAGGAAGGTCCTGAGCCCACAGGTCCAAATACTCGCTCCCTCTGGGTAGCTGGCTGTGGCCAAGAAGTGATTACAACCTTGTCCCTTGTCAGCTCTACTAGGTACCTGGGAATTTTACAGAACATACAAATATACTTGTAGAAACATTGTCTGTCAACCCTATACATGGTCATGGGCACACTTCCCCCTGCATAGACATACCTAATAGTTCAGCCTGTCCACCCATCTATCCACCCATATATCAGTGTTTGCCATCACTGACAACTCAGTACTATATATGCAAAAGGTAAAACCTGTTTACTCTTATCACCCTTTTATATATACATATTATATATAAAACTAGTATTTCAACATCAAAGTGTGTGTGTGTATGTGTGTGTGTATAAATATATATGTATGTATATATATGTGGCAGCTCTGGTAGCATAGTGCCTAAGGCATTGTACTACTAACCAGAAGGCTGGTAGTTCAAAAACCCACCAGCCACTCCTCAGAAGGAAGATGGGGCAATCTACTTCCGTAGCGATACTGCCTCGGAAAGCCAAGGAGGGCTTGCTATGAGCCAGGTCCAATTTGATGGCACATAACAACAACATATGTATGTAGGCTCTGGTAGCATAGTGGCTAAGGCACTTGACTGCTAACCAGAAGGCTGGCGGTTCAAACCCACCAGCCACTCCTCAGAAGGAAGGTTGGTTAATCTACTTCTGTAGTGATACCGCCTCGGAAACCCAAGGAGGGGTCACTATGAGTCGGGTCCAACTCGACGACACATAACAACAAACAACATATGTATGTATGTATATGTGTATGTTGTGGCAATGTTTTAAACAGGCTGAGGAAAAATAACATTTGACCTTATTTTTCTCATTTTATCTCATAGACTGGTCAAAGTATTGGCATTATTGACATCATTAGTAGAGACTAGTTTTTGGAAACCACTGCTATATAGTGTCCTATATTGTGGTGCCTCTTACTACATACCAAACTATTACATCATTTTTTTAAGTAATCTGGAACACACTTGGTGGTAGATAAAATATACAAGACCAAAGTAATTTTGGAAGGGTTTTGTACAAACTGGATTTTGCTTATTTATTCTGTTTTTTTATTTTTTAGCATGTATGCTCTATACAATCCATAACACATATGATGACATTGAAAATAAAGTGGTTGCAGATCTAGGATGTGGTTGTGGAGTGCTTAGCATTGGAGCTGCAGTGTTAGGAGCAGGGTAAGTAATTCAGTATATACTATTTGGGTATGAGGTGGCTTTAATAAGAAGTATATGCAGGATCAATTGAGTTATGTTTATAGATCTACAGCATGAAGTTAGGGGAGCAAGAATCTGATACTGGGTACATTTTGAATAGGCAGATGATCAAAACAAACTACAAAAAAAAAAAAAAAAGTAAGTTAACAGCAGCAATCAGATGCTTCCCTTTTATACAAAATCTGAGTTCTAACCCCTCACCAGGTTGGGAAATCTTGCTGTTGAAGAACAACACTCATTGTCAATTGGATTAAAATTGTATTTTTATGCATTTAACATGTACCTTTACATTTATTTGCCAGCCATTCCCTTTTCACCTCCAGGAGGTATTTTTGTAAACACACTATGCTATTTACTTTTTTTTTAACAAGCAACATGTGAAAATTGGCATAGCCATGCATACCAAAATACCTCCCAGGGCGGAAGGAGCCGTTGGCAAACAACGTAGGAAGTCTGTGTTGTTTATGTCAAAATATGGTATGTGGTAACCCAGATAGTTTCATGTTTGCTTTTTTTCTTTTTTAACTTGGGAGGTAGAAATAGTTATGCTTTGTGTGTATTTATATAGGTTGTGTGTTGGGTTTGACATAGATGAAGCAGCACTGGAAATATTTAATAGGAATGTGGAAGAATTTGAGTTAACAAATGTTGACATGGTTCAGTGTGACGTGAGTGCATTATCTAACAGAATGTCCAAGTCATTTGATACAGTAATCATGAATCCTCCCTTTGGAACCAAGAAAAATAAAGGTTAGTAACAAGAATCAGATACACTGGTGTATTTCTAGAAAAGCAAGATTTTATCATTGATTATTTGGGCTAAATGATTAATCACTATTCATTAAATAAACCAATATCTTACCTTTATTGTTAGTACAATTTCAATTTAGTGCGTGACTAGAGAATTGGATTTTTCAATTTTTGTTATTTCCAAATTTATATAAAGTCTTTTATTCATTTATTATTTATACTCTCTCTGCTTTCAAGAATGATTTGCTCTAACTTTATCATTGATTATGAAACCTGTGAAGAGTTTTATACATTTAGACTCTTTTTTTAATGCTTTAACACATCCAAGGGTTTCAACATGTGCTCATCAGTAACAGTGACTCACTGTGGCTATTTTATGTGTTGTGGGCCAGAGGATAGGGAGTCATTACGAGGAGGGAAAGATGGAATTTTAAAAGTTCCCCTAGATGATTCCAGTTACTGCTCTTCTTCTATTCTATCTTTGAAATCATTAATTTGGTATATAATATTAAAAACTGTACTTTAGCTTTAATTTACCAAGGTAATATAAATTCTGGGAGCTCTGGTGGCGTGGTGCCTAAGGCATTTGACTGCTAACCAGAAGGCTGGCAGTTCAAACCCACAAGCCACTCCTCAGAAGGAAGGTTGGGCAATCTACTTCTGTAGTGATACTGCGTTGGAAATCCAAGGTGGGGTCACTATGAGTCGGATCCAACTCGACAGCAATGGGTAATAAAAATACTAGTTTTACTCTATCAACCTTAAAAGAATATGCATTTTTTAAAATTTGTATCCTGTTCTATTGCACAAAGAATTTGGAATGGCTATTTTGGAGTTTAGAAAAAAATGTTTATAAACCTGTTAACAATTTTTCTATTTTGATAACAAGTATATAAGAGCTTTATTTTTCTTTACAGGGATAGATATGGCTTTTCTGAAGATTGCTTTGGAAATGGCAAGAACAGCAGTATATTCTTTACACAAATCCTCTACTAGAGAAGTAAGTTCAAAGAATTATGGTTTATTTTTAAATTTATGACACTGTTTAAGGATTTACTCTAAATTCTAAGTATCACAGTATCTGTTTCTTCTGATGTTTTTAACACTGGCACTTATCGATACTAAATTTTCCCTTTAATTGGAATCTGTGAGCAGCTTTTTCCCAGCCTATATAGCAAATTTTGGAGAGTCAAAAATCTGTTCAGACAAGAACTGCTGGCAGGACAAGGACTGTAATTCAGAGTCAAAGAAGTGTGGTATAACTAGGATTACAATATGTTCTGGTTTATCTGGGTAAGGCTTAGTTGGTGCCTGTGATCCCAATGCCCTTGTATGGTCTCATGTACTTAAGGGAGGCAGTAAGACCTGGTTTAAGAATGCTGATCCTGCCTATACGACTATGAAGCCAGAAGAACTAGATGGTGCCCAGCTACCACTGTCAGCCACTCAGAGAGGGATCTATGTAGGAGATGGTGGATAGCATGGGAGGACAATGTGGAACAAAACTCAAAATCATAAAAGGGACCAGGTTTGCTGGTCTGATAGAGCCTGGTGAAATCCCTAAGACTATGGCCTTTCAGGTCTGGAATTGAACCCACTCCAGTGGCTTCCAGCCAAACAAGACAGGCATATGAGCTGAACATTTACATTAGGTAGATAAACTTCTTGGAGAGATCAATCATGGGAGAATAGAAGGGCTCTGTATGCACAGGGAGATAGCTCAGGGGGCAGGAGTGCATGGGAAGGAAGGACACAGGGAAGAGGTAACTCTGGGGAGGAAGTGGGAAGAGAGCTATTACAGTGTAGGAGATACAGTCACTATCAAGAGACAAAGTGTATGTGAACTGCTGTATGAAGATGAATTTGCTCTGTAAACTTTTACTCAAATTACAGTAAAATTTAAAAAAAAAAAAAAAGAATGCTGATACTGGAACTAAACAGGTCTGAGTTCAGATTCAAATCTCTTCCATTTATTCTTGTCAGCATAAAACACATGCAAGTGTTTAAGATGTATTCCAGGACATTGGTGGGAAGGAGGAGGATTTTTTTCTCCAGCATCAGTATAACATGCTGCTGTTGTTGTTATATGCTGTCAAATTGGACCTGACTCATAGTGACCCCTCCTTGGGTTTCCAAGGCAGTTCATCACTACAGAAGTAGATTGCCCAACCTTCCTTCCGAGGAGTGGCTGTTGGGTTTGAACCGCCAGCTTTCTGGTTAGCAGTCAAGTGCCTTAGGCACTAGACTACTAGAGCTTCCTCAGTATAACATAGTGATTAAAAATTCTGGGGCCAGAGTGCAAGAGTTCATATCCAAGTTCTGCTGCTTCCCCATTTGTGTTAATATGGACCTAAGAGTACCTTATATACTTCACGTGGTTGTTCTGAGTTAATATTTATAAAACACTTAGAACAATGTCTGCCATATGTAACTGTTATGTTAGCTGTTACTATTCTTTAAAGCTTTTATATATATATACATACCCACTCACTTATTGACACGGTTAGGTTCCAAAGACCAGGTTGTTTTTGCAAAAACAGGCATTATGTGAAAATGGAGGATGACTACAACATCACTACCTAACTGCCAAATTACAACTGACCCTTGGAAAACATGGGGTTAGGGATGCCAACCCATCACGTCTTCAAAAATCTGATTAACTTGATTCCCCCCAGAATTTAACTACTCAGAACCCACTGTTGACCCTACCAATAATATAAAGTTAACACCATTCTTGCTGTACAAATTCCAAGGCCAATCTTGTAAACCAAAGGTTAAGCAGTCAGCCTTGTTATCAACCTTTTTCTGTACAGCTTGTCAGAACATAGATTTTATCCAACTCATATACAGTTGATGCAGCCCAAGTAAAATGTGCTGGCAAAGCATAATATAATTAAATAGCAAAATCTAGTTATATGAATGAATTCCTGAGCCTCATTACTAAGAAGTAACACCTTCATTGTTTGGTGTTGCCATATTCAACCACTAGGAGGCAGCATTATCAACACTGCCTCAGTAGGCCTGATGGTTGAATTTTAACTTGAGTATTCCATTAACATAAATACATTTTTCTTAAGATGGTACAGAAGTGTTTTAGTTAGCACCAAAAAAAAAAAAAAAAAAAAACCCAAACCCACTGCCATCATTGATTCTTACTCATAGAGACCCCTGTTGGGTTTTTGAGGTGGTAAATCTTTACGGAAGTACTTCTGTAGTTTTGCCCCATGTTCCTTATGCAGAGCTGCTGGCAAGTTTGAACTGCTAACCTTTAGGCACTGCACCAGAGCACCTTTGAGTTAGCACTAAATAATTTTAAGAAGTTTATCTGGTGTAGGTTGTGCATGCTACAGAAGTATGAGAAATGAATTTCTAATGTTTACAGTCCCTATTTTATGCTGTAAGCTTATAATTTCAAGCTCTGATGGTGTTGTGCTTAACTATCGTGTTGCTAACCAAAAGGTCGGTGGTTCAAACCCACCAGCCACTCTGCTAGAGAAAGATGGGGCAGGTCTGCTTCTGTAAAGATTTACAGCCGTAGAAACTGTGGGCCTGGTCTACTTTGTCTTATAGGGTCACTGAGTTGGAATCTACTTGATGGCAGTGGGTTTTATATTATTAGTAAAATTGGCACCTAAGCTCACCTTAAACCCTTTGACTATAGGCCTGTATCAAAATTGCTTAAAAATGCTTAGTTTAAAAAAATAATAATAAATTCTTGGCCCTCTATCTGTAACATAGGTGGATTTGATAAAAAAATTTTATTATTTTTATTTTTGCAGTGTTTCCTCCTCTCCCTCCCACCTCCTGGGATTTGTAATTTTTTGATAGGAACATTTAGGTGAAAAATGAGTATATCTTGGCAAAAATGCAAATAACTGTGAGACTCTTCAAGCTGTTGCCCTGTCTTAACTGGCATCGACAATTTAGTTCTTGGCTTACAGTGAGATTTGACATACTTAGCAAAGTAACGTTGGCACTGTTTTTCCCATGTTTTCTCCCAAACTCAATCCACCACTCATTCTTTTACATTTCTGCCAGAACTAACCATATTCCATTGCATAATGTAATAATCTTAAAAAAAAAAAAAAAAACCTCCTTTACTAACATTAAGATCAGGCAGCAAAAAAATGCTTCCATAATTTATTTCTCACAAAATTATCAAGGACCCAGAGTTCATTAAATTATTGTGTTTAAAGTCTGTATACTTTTAAAAAAAAAATTCTAAAATTCAAAGTAGGGAAAAAATTTGCCAAGAACTCTAATTATTTAGTTCAGGGGAAAACTATAGGCACCAACATATTAATGCCAGTATTATTTAGAATGTTGGAAATAATTAACCTAAGATGTTAGGGAAAATTATTTTACCAACTTGATGCCAAGAAGTATAATTAAGATGACAAGGAGGTCTTGTGGTACCAATGAACAAAATGAATATTGGTTATCACCAATATAGTACTTCTGGCAAATTATATATACATTATTTAGAGGATTATGGGCAACTCTCTTTTTTGATTTTCGCTGATATTGGAATGTTGTATATGTACTAATTTTTTAATCCAAATACATCTTTTATATAATAAATTAACTAAACTCTTGTATAGTTTAAGAATTTTAAACTTATACTAGCAGCTAACGTATTTGGGGCTATGTGTGCTACCACAGTTCAAAGTACTTTTGTGATTTTGGGTGCAGGTTTACAGAGTAAACGTTTTCCACTCAGCAACTTATACACATCTTATTTCCTGCCACTGGTTGCAATCCTCACAATGTCTTCACCCTCCCTCCTTGTGGTTACCTTTTTCCCTGTATCTTTCCTATGCATTCCTGCTCTGTGAGCTTTCTTCCTGTGCAAATGCTGCTCTTCTGACCTCCCATGGTTGATTGTTCTCAGCAGTGTACTTACCTAATTTTAATTGTTCACTTTGTAGCCCTATTATTGTTTGGCTACAAGTAAAGGTAGGAAATGAGGTCAATTTCAGGCCTGCAGGATACTTAGGGGTCATGGTCTCTGGGGTTTCACCATTCTCTATCAGATTAGTTATCCTGGTCTAGTTCAAGGTACTTTTCAGTCTTCAGCACCAATCCAATGAGATATACCATTATTATCCCCATTTGACATATGAGGAAACTGAGACAGAGCAAAAATGAGTATATCTTTACGAAGAATGGCAGAGCTACAGTTCAAATGCTGACATTCCACTTCCAGAGATCATGGTCTAAACTACTATACCTACCACCGTGAATTTCCCATGGACAGAGACCTCTGCTAAATCATTTCCAGAAGAATAGCTATTAGTGAAATAATGCTACAGAAACAGTGTGAATACATAGATCCTTGGGTAGATTTCAGAAATAGCCCTATCACTTGAATATACTTATACTTTGGTTTAGATTGTTAACTATAATTATATGGCTTGATGTCTTATTTTTTCAGAGATACTACCCACCAGTTGAAGCTCTTATAAGTGTCTAAATTCTAATGAAGGTCCCTAGGTGGTACAAGTGATTTGCACTGGACTACTAACCTAAAGGGAGCTCTGGTAGTGTAGTGCCTAAGGCATGTGATTGCTAACCAGAAAGCTGGTGGTTCAAACCCACCAGCCACTCCTTGGAAGGAAGGTTGGGCAATCTACTTCTGTAGAGATACAGCCTTGGAAACCCAAGGGGAGGTCGCTATGAGTTGGATACGAGTTGACGGCAGTGAGTTTGGTTTTTTTTACTAACCTAAAGGTTGGTGGTTCAGAGCACCTAGTGGTACTATGGAACAATGGCCTGACCATCTGCTTCCATTAACATTATAGCACAAAAATCCCTGTGGAGCAGTTCTACTCATAATACTTCGGGCTGCCATCAACTTGACAGCAGTGGGTTTGGGTTTTATTTTTTTAAGGTGTAGTTTAATCTTCTGTGGATGTATTGGTGCTGGGTGGCCACCAACACTTGTGATTCAGGCTCACGAAGCACGGACTCAACATCCTTGCTGACTCCAACACTTTAAAATTCTGAGATGCTCATCTGAACAAAGATACGCTTGTCTTTTCAAGCTCTTTATACTCAGCTTTGAGCTTGCTCTGTGGTATTCTTCCTTGCATTGGGCAACCCATCCTATAATTCTTCCTTATAGTCACAGAGGTCTGCTGTGCATGGTATAGTGCTGAAGATGCCAAATGGTGAAACTGAGTTGGGGCTACCACCATAGCCTTGTGATCTCAAAGGGCCTTCACATACTCAAGTCACATACCTCTTGCCTTTTTGAACACATCCCAGGCTCTTTGGAACTTAGGTATTTTATCAGTGACTCCAGGTATCAGGATTAGAGCAGCATCAAACTCTGCAAGGAAGTCCTTAATTGCAGCTAAGGTGGTCATCTTGTCATCTCTTGCAACAAGATATACTTGGCCATAAGGTGTTGACCTAAACCACACATCTGTGGTGAGGATGCCCACAAGGAGGAAGCTTACATATTTTCTGATGTCAAGTGCATGATACGGCACATGGGTCGTGCTTACTGCAATGGCAACTTTTAAAAGTATTGAACCTTGACTCTGCAGTGGTTGTCTGCCTATTATCTTGAACATCTTTGTGCAACATTATCAAGATGTTGAGTTCTGCGTGATAAAAGTTTGAACTGCTGCTCACTGTCATCACAAACTGGCTTTGGACCTGTGGCCTGTCCCAGTATCTTGGCTTCCAACTTCAGGATTTCACTGTCCCAGATTGATCCATCACATGTATCACATCTGGTACATCATTAAATCTGTCTCGGGAGGATGGAGAAACAGCACATAGTATCGAGGTACATACTGTGTGGGTTAAGTACATCTTTTGGATGTCAGTAACATAGCAAGAGCAGTGCAAGGACGTGTTCTCCAACTGTTGGTGCAACATGATTGACATCACTGGTAAGTAGCTCCAGCAAAGAGCCAGAGGTTCTTGTGATGGTATCAGAGAGGATGGAGATACCAAGGCATGATCTGCTTAGCTGTTCCAGATTTTTAAAATTCTAATAAAAATTTAAAAGTCCAAAAACATACTGATTATTAGTAAACAAAAAATTTAAACCAGCTCATTTTAACATGTTATTTATATTTAGCATATTCAAAAGAAAGCTACAGAATGGAAAATCAAGATGGATATTATAGCAGGTAAGACCATGAATTTTACTTTTCTTACAAAACAAATCCCAACTCTGATTATGTAAAAGGGCTGACATGCATTAGCACGACCAAAATTTTTATACAGGTGCTAAGAAAAGGCATTATAAGAACATCTTTTTTTCAGTATGGCAAAATGTTTTTGGTCGTTAATGGGTTGAAAATGGGGTAGAAGTAGGTTGAACGTATATCGAAGTTTGCTTGAAACTGCCCCAATTTAAGCATTTTACCAAAAATTTTTACTAGTGCCTACGTATTTGTTCACTACAGAACACTACATAGCATCACATCAATTAAAAGCATGGGTTTTGAGTTGGTGAGAACTCAGTTTGAAATACATTTATAGAAAATGCTACCACTGTACCACCACACAAGCTTAAGAACTGCCTGGATAACCTTTCCATTTCAATTTTCTAATTGTCCCTGAGTTGATGAGAAGTTAAGACTTTAGAAAGCATTTTCTTTCTTTTTGTGGGAGTAGAATATAAACATTCATACTATGATTGAATTATATTTGATACGTTTTTATTAGTAAATTGGGTAATACAAACACCAAAATGGGAAAAACAAAACTAAAAGCTAACTATAATCCAAATAATTTTGAAAAGCCTGAAATAAGAGTATAATAGGGGAAAATGTTTTTTACACAATAGTAACTATGAATTGGCACTATGTTAAATATGTAAGTAGATACTACTACTGCTCATAGTAATTAGTAATGTAACAAGTCTGATGTGTTATTATATTCAGTATTGCTCATTCCTTACCTCGCTTAAGGTCTTACAATGTGTGATATGAGGCACTTAGTACAGTCCTAACAGTATACCTAACCAGAGCTTTGCCACTCCAAGTACTTGCTACTCGACCATCAGCATTCATATCATTTGGGAGCTTGTCAGAAATAATTTCAGGACCGACCCAGACTTATCTGCAATTCCACCAAATTCCCAATTGATTTGATTGCACTTTAAAATTTGAGAAGCTGTGATCTAGATGGTTAGAATTAATGTTACAAAAGTTAAGGATAGGTAGACTGTCAACCTTCTAACATTGATTAGTTTTAATAGTTTAAAGAACTTACATTATTCTTCAGAAGAACATGAAAATGGGTTTTCATTTGAATGCTTAGTAGGTAAATACTTTTAGTAAAATCAGGATCAGAATTTTTTCACATAAGTATGGTTATTAGGACATTAAATTAGAATAGATGATCATCAGGAAATATTAAAAAGCTACTGTAATTTTCATAGGATATATTTATCTATTCTTATCCTTCTAATCATCTCCCCATAATCTCAAATTTCAGTTTAAATGGCCAAAATTATAGAAGGTACACCAAGATCAGTTTGCCATGGCTAATCCTGGGGATACAGCAAGTCAGACTTGGATGAATTCAAGTGGCAATTCTAAAATGTTTGGCTTACAAGCATTTAGTACTTCCTTAGTTTTTTAAGTCAGATGGTTCTATGTTTGGAAATGTAATTTTTACCCTTATGTGTCTTATTTTACAGAATTGAGATATGACCTGCCAGCATCATACAAATTTCATAAAAAGAAATCAGTAAGTCTCTTGATTCTGGCCTAACTAACTATATCCATTATGAAAAGCTTTTCCATTAAGTAACTCTTTCTTCTGTTATCAGGTTTTCTTAGTACATAAAGCAAGCAAGCCTAGGAAACAGGATATAATTTAACTAATAAGATGGACTTATAACCAAACAAACAGCCTATACTGTGGCAGATAAACTTTTCTTGAATGCTTTGAACACAATGAAAAGGGAGGGAGGGAAAAAACCTAACTTTTCACTCTTTTTATATAGCATATATTTATTTTATTAAAGTTTATACTAATATATTCTCATATTAAAAAGGTAGTTTAGTGGAAGAACCTTTTGATAATTGAATCATCTGGTAACAGAGCTATACATTAAAAAAATCCTCATTTAAAAACAAAAAGACAAACAACAAAAAAAAATGTTCTTTTCTTACAGGTGGACATTGAAGTGGACCTAATTCGGTTTTCTTTTTAAAAAGCTCCAATGACAAAAGTAGATTAAAACCTAAATTAAATGAATTTTAAAACAGTTTACTAAACTACTGGTCTCCTGTACCGTTTTCTGTTTTTTGTTGTTTTGATGCAGGTTCTTCTCCATCTGTTTCTTCTCTCGCTCTTTTCTCTGGTCCTACACAATAACAGAGTTAATTTGTTTAATTCAATGTAAGCATTACTTGATTTTAATACTGAGCACAATTACTAATAAGAATTCTGTTTCAAAAAATTAGCAACTATATATAGATAAGAAAGGAGCTCTGGTGGCATCATACTAAGGCACTTGACTGCTAATCAGAAGGTCAGCAGTTCAAACCCACCAGCCACCAGCACCCCCACAGAAGGAAAGTGAGGCAATCTACTTCCATAAAGTTTTATAGCCTGGGAAACCCAAATGGGGGTCATTACGAGTCAAAAAAGACTAGATGGCAGTGAGTTTTTTTGTCCCTAGATAAAAAGATTAAAAAAAAAAAAACTATTCAAGAAAGAAAGAAAACAAATCAGACCATAAGTATAGACTAGTGGCCACTGAGTATTTCTTGTCACGCATTCCCCTAAAAGAATTCCGCAATAATGATGTATCCCTTTACACATTTTTAAGTTGACATTTAAAGCTATTTTTTCCCTAAGTAACTACTAAGGTTTTAACTTCCAAGCATATTGTACGCATCAACATTTAAAAGTAAAACTATAAAAATCACTCCTAAATAAACCCCAGCAACTTCTCACCTACATCAGTGAGAAAAAGGTTTTCTTCTAGTATAGACCTTTTGATTCCTGATTCTGTCTCCCAAATCTCATCCTTCATTTGTCAAACAAACATAACTGGAGTAAATCACAGTAATTCAAGACTGCCACTTTAACAGAAGTTGAAAAACCACCTCACTGCTTTCCTGCAAATAATTTCTCAGAAAGGTACAACTTTCTCATGAAACTACAAAAAGACAAAAAACTTACCAGCTGCACCATTTTCATCACATTCATCATCACTATCAAATTTCGTTTTCTTGCCCTGAAACTGTACTTTTCCTTTAGCAGATCCAGTCTGGGCAATCTTATTTCCCTTTCCTTTCCCTTTAAATTTGCGACCTGTAGAGACATAATTGAGAATTAAGAAATTTTTAAAATCTCTGGCTAATGTTTTTTTGAATACAGATTAAAATTTTTACTCAAGTAAGTGAAATAAAATATCTGAGAAAAATCAGATAATGACCCTTTGACTTCCATTTGTTTAGGGATTCTTGATGATCTTCCATAATTTTTTTCAATGCTGCTTTTTCTACCTCTCCTTCTAGTACTTCCCATGTTACTTCTTTGTTCCTTAATTGCAGGTTACCATTACTTGCATCTTTGGCTTTATCCAGTACTTCTTTAGCTTTTTCTTTGAATAGAATTACTCCCTACATCAAAGACAGAAAACAAAAGGCACACCATTAGTTTTTGAAGTCTTGCAGTTAACTTTTCTTCACTCAATTCATTTTTCCTATCCTGCAAATCTCCTATGCCATTATCAGTTTCAATGGATTTTACAGAACATTAGGAAAATGAAACAGAAACTTACATTCACCCATAACAACAGTTATTCATAGTATAATCCAGAAAATATCAGACATCAAATCTAATGACTCCAGAAAAGGAGTAAGTGATCAAGTAAAAACTATTTTTAAACACATTACTTAAAAAAAAAAAAACAAAGGGAAACAGGACTTTTGAATTTTATCTTCTAAAAGACCAGTATCTATGAATTTTTAAACTGACTACTAAAAAACATGTTTCCAAACCTCTTTTGCGCCTCTGACAAAATCTATCCATTTTATTTCTCCATGAGTTGAGAAAAGGATGTGTAAATCTTCTCTACAGGTCTGATCATCTAAGTCACCCGAAAACTTCAGCAAGCAGCCCATCTTTTCTTCTAGAGATTTCTACAAAAATATACAAGGCAATCAAAAATTTCTTAAAAGTAAACACAACCAGAAATGGCTTAACATTCTATACCTATAAAGGACGATTCTGTATTTTAAAGTCGTTTAAATGTTTTTAGTTAAGTATTTTTCCTTTTTTCTACAATAGCTTCTCATTTTAATGTTCTTCTACAAATGATAGTTATATGCTATCTAAAATCTGTTTATTACACAAACCAAACTCATTGCCATCAGGTAGATTCCAACTCACAGCAACCCTCACTGGGTTTCTGAGGCAGTAAATCTTTACGAAGTAGAGTTCCCCCATCTTCATTCCATGGAGCAGCTGGTGGGTTTGAACCATCAACCTTCTTGTTAGCAGTCAAATGCCTTTGGCACTGCACCACCATAGCTCCTTAATTTATTATACAAGGCAATCAAAAATTTTCTAAAATAACCACAACCAGAAATGGCTTACCATTCTTTACCAACTCAGGTTAATGATTTTAGACAGTATTACTTGTATACTTAATGCAATGACAGCTATAAGGTTTCTTGTACATCTTTTTATACTTTTGAGTTATAAACGACTTGTGTGTATGTATGTATCACAGCTATCAAGTCAGATCCAACTCATAATGACCCCTCCTTGGGTTTCTGAGATGATAACACTATGGAAGTAAATTGCCCACTTCCTTAGGAGGAGTGGCTTATGGGTTTGAACCACTAGCTTTCTGGTGAGCAATCAAAGCTCCTATAGATTGCTTAGATACCAGTAATAATTATACTTACCATTTCAGCATCTTCTGCTAACTTCTGTTTTTCTTCTTGCTCTCTAAAATAAAAACACTGTTAACCACAACCTGTTTCATTAGTATATAAAAAATTTCAATCCTTATTAATAATACTTAAATCCTAATGATAAAGTTAATCCTGAATACTATCACTAAACTACTTAATAATCAAAGCCATTCCTCAGGCTTTCTAATCATCCAATTCTAAACTGCCATTTATATGTGACCCCCAGATTATCAAAGCAACTTAAGACCCTAATGTTTCACTAGCAAAAGAAAGGCTTCTTACCACCATTTTCTGAGCTCTTCATCAGCTCTTCACAGAACTACTAATCGTACCATGATCAAAGCTCTAAGGAATTGAAATGTTATGACTAGTTCAATATACTGATGGTACTTACTGTTTAGCTCGTAATTTAGCTTCCACTTTGTTTTGTTTTCTTTCTTCATTCTTTTTTGCAAAGTAATCTTCCCTAAAGGACACAAATATGGAGGCTAAGATCATGAGGACAAAGATAAAATTGTTTATTACGTCAAATGATTTAAGATGTGGCACAGCAAGGAATACTATGTGCATTATGTGCATTTTCTAGCAACATAATTAACCAGTTACAAATTCAAAATATACCAAGGAAGCTATCATGTTTATTCTGTGTTGTTAAAGTATAATTTACGTAACATAAAATTTACCCTCCTTTTAATCGATGTGTGCAACTCACTGGATTTTATATAGTCAGATTTATACAACCACCACCATGATCTAATTTCAGAACATCTTCAACACTCCAAAAAGAAACCCCGTATTGATTAGCAGTCTTATGTTGGTGTTTATCATTCATGTATGTTTAAAAAAAACATTGCCGACAAGTCTACTCCAACTCATAGTAACCCAATGGGACAGAAAGAACTGAACTGTCCTACAGGGTTTACCAAGGCTAGAAATCTTTACAGAAGCAGATTGCCACATCCTTCTCCTGTGGAGCAGCTGGTAGGTTCAAACAGCCAACCTTTTGGTTGGCACCCAAGCACTTAACCACTGTGCCACCAGGGCCCCTTACCTTCATATATAATGGGGTAGGGTAATCAGGAGTCATATAAATAACGTTTCATACAATTTATCACAGTATTGATTTCACCAAAGGATAAAATTCTAAAATCCCAAGAATAAGAGCAATTATGAAAATCGTAAGTTAAAAAATAATTTTGAGGGTTTAATACTGATATATATATATAATTCATTACATTTAACCAAGTTTGGTACAACACATTTAGATTGTCTATTGCAAAAAAGGGCACTATAACCCTATAATTACAAGCTCTGGTGGCATAGAGCCTAAGGCATTTGCTAACCAGAAGAATGGTGGTTCAAACCCACCAGCCACTCCTTGGAAGGAAGACTAGGCAATTTACTTCCATAGAGATACTGCCTCGGGAACACAAAGAGGGGTTGCTATGAGTTGGGTATGACCTGACAGCAGTAAGTTTGTTTTGTTGTTTGCATGGCCCTATAACTAACTTCATAAAAATCCTATTGTTTGTCCTCATTTTTTATGTATACATACACGTGTATACATATGTATACATGGTAAATAGTATGACCCACATCCCTGAATCCTTTTATGGTATAAAATTGGAGGGATTATAACCCACCTCCACCCCCCAGAAAACAATTATGGCCATGAGGTAATCTTTAAACTGAAAAAATCCCCTGAAGTGATCTTTAATTAAACAATAGTTTAACTTAGTAAAGAATTTTTGCCTCTTTTAACATTGTGCTATTTTAAAGAATTATCTGTATGTGATCAAATTGACAACAGCAACTCTGAGGACAGCGAGTTCATGTTAATGGTTGAGGAGTAATTTGGAAAAAGATGGCAAAAATGGTTATAGAAGTTGAAGAATGTAATCAATGTCACTGAATTGTACATGCAGAAACTGCTGCACTGTTGTATGTTATGCTTTGTATATTTTCACCAAAAAAAAAACCCCAACAACATTGTAGGCATATATAAAGTCAATCACAGAAGGACAAATAATATATTAGTCTGCTATTGTAAAAAGTCAAGGAAAAGTTTATATATAGAATGAAACTTTGTTTTGGTTACCAAAGATGGAAGGGAAGGGGAGGGAACCCTGATCGATAGGTAGAGACAAATATCGATTGGGGTGAAGGCAAGGGCAGTGTCCCAAATGCAAGTGATCAACACGGTGGCATTGAGGAAGAAGGTGACACAGAGAAGTACATGGGAAGTACAGACAACAAAGATGAATCCTTTTGCACGGAGTACTAAATTGTCAGTGTGGCAAACACTGATCTATGGGTGGATAAATGGGTGGACAGGCTGAATGATCAGGTATGTCTAGGCAGGGAATAGTGTGCCCATGACCACATATAGGACTGGCAGACGATGTTATCTACAAGTGTATTTGTATGTGCTGTAAGAATGTCCAAGTACACAACAGAGCTGACAAGGGCCAAGGTCGTGATGACTTCTTGGCCACAGCCAGCTACCTGGAGGGAATGAGTGAGTTGGACCTGTGGGTTTGGGACCATAGGTCCAGGGGACATCAAGCTCAATTGGTGTAACATACTACACAATAACACTGTCCCACATCCTACTTTGGTGAGTGGTAACTGGAATCTTAAAAGCTTGCAAGCAGCCAACTATATGTAATGACAGGTCACTCCTCATCCAGAGCAAAGACAAATGAAGAAAACCAAAGATGCATGGAAACAATTAGTTCAAGGGACTGGTAGACCATGCATTCCTCAGCCTATATGACTATGAGACCAAAAGAACTAGATGGTGCCCAACTAACACTGTCAAATACTCAGAGGGGGATCTGGGTAGGAGATCCTGGGTAGAATGGGAGAACAATGTGGAACAAAACTCAAAATCTTTTTTTTTTTATAAAGGCCAGCTTTGCTGGTCTGACAGAGCCTGGTGCAACTCCTGAGACTATGCCCCCAGCTGCCCTTCAGGTCTGGAACTGAACTCACTCACGTGGCTTCCAGCCAAACAAAAGACAGGCATATGGGCTGAACATTTACATTAGGTAGATAAACCCCCTGGAGCGATCAATCATGAGAGAACAGCAGGGCAGTATATGCCCAGGGAGACAGTTCAGTGGGGAGTACTACATGAGTGGGAAGGACCCAGGGAAGAGGTGGCTAGGGGAAGGAAGTGGGAGGAAAGCTGTTACACTGTGGGAAACTACTGTCAATGTCATGAGACAAAATGTGTATTAACTGCTTTATGGAAAAAGATTTGCTCTGTAAACTTTCACCCAAATCACAATAAAAAAAACTTTTTAAAATAAATACATTGTAGGCATATGTAGAGTATGAGAAGGAAGAACAGAAGAAATCTAGGAAACTCCTATGGAGAGTTCCGTTAAGATGGTGGAATAGGCAGAAAGACTGCCAAGACCCTCTTTCAACAAAGAAAAGGGGAACCAATTAACACCGATACAGAAGATAATCCTGGACCCCTGACCCTTGAAGGGAAAGATATAGAAGTGGACTAAATTCCAACCAGGAGAAGAATTTGCATGAAAACACCAAGAGAGACATACGGAGCTGCGGCAAGGCAGCAATCCTCACTGCACAGACAGCTTGGATATTGCTGAGTAGTGGTAGGACCTAAGAATTAACCTAAAAATCAGCCCTGCTATCCAGGGACTGCACAGAAGACTGCTCAGGTGGCTGGGGAATAAAAGGGGAAGCAACAAAAAGGAAGGCGGGCTGAGCTGTGGACTTCTCTCTGTCCAGAGGGGTGCAACGATTTTGAATGTTTACAAGCGGCTTGACCATTTTGGGTATTTAAAGTGACAGCACTCTCCCAGATTCCAGGGATTTAAGAACAGGTCCCACTTGCCAGGAACCCCAAGGACATTCTGGACCTGCATGACTGGAAAGGTGTGACATTCCTCTTGTTACTCTTATACCCCACAAACGGAGGTGCGCTCATCCTTTAATCCCACCCACCTTCGGGCCGGCAGGGATTCCATCCCAATCTGTGTGCTCGGACAGAGCCTGGGTGCCCAGCCCCAATTTTTTTCTGTTTTCTGCATTTAAGTTTGTTTTTATCTGTTTTAAAACTATTATAATTATTATTTTTGTCCTTTTTACTGTTCCTTGTTCTTCCCCTCTCACGTTCTAGTTTTCAGCTTTTTTTTTTTTCCCTATTCCTGGTTGCAATTCTTTTTTTTTCTTTGTGGTTAACCCCATTCCTTGTTTTCTTTTTGCTTTTTTCCCATTTTTTTCTTCATTATTCTTCTCTACCTTTTTCTCTTATTGCCCTCTCCCCAGATATTGCAGGGTTTTTCCTTCTTTTTCCCTTTTCTCTTTTTTTGGTTACAGTTGCTGTGTGATTACAGAGTGTACTTTTTTGTCCATTTGCTTTTACTTTTTTGATGGTTATTCAATTGTTATTTTTGTCTAACTGAGTGGGAGACAGCAGCAGTCCCCATACAACAGAACTATACCCACACCTCCTGCAGCTTCACTTACTAAGTGAAAGCCACCACTTCCTTCTCCACCAACAGGCTAATGATAAACCACCACCGAAACAAGCCTGAATCACCCTTGGCTGTTGTTCACAAACAGTTAACAGAGATCTAAATACAACAATGCCACGACGTCTCAGAGACAACAGACCATCACAGTCCACACAAAAAGCAAGATAAAGTAGTAGTAACAAGGGAGCAGCATACAGAGCCAGAACACATCCCTGAGGAAGCGGCAGCACTGGAACTCTCTGATAAGGAATACAAAAGAATTTAGGTACCTTCAATGGATTGAGAGACAGATCAAGGAAAACACAGAAAACCCTAGAAGAATACTGGAAGAAAATACAAGAACAAAATGGCAAAATAAATGAAAAATTAGAAATGATTCTAAGCCTACAGATATAAATCCAAAAAATTAATACTAAAATGTCAGAAATAGATAACACATTGAAAGGGCAAAGAAGTAGAATTGATGCAATAGAAGACAGAATTAATGAGATTGAAGACAAATACCTGAATGCTTCTTTAGAAAAGGATCAATCAGAAAAAAGATCAGAACAAAATGAAGAAAGCCTAGGGTTCATGTGAGATACCATTAAAAGGAATAACCTACGAGTCATTGGAATTCCAGAACAGAAGGGACAAATAAACCACTGAGAAAACTGTCCAAGATTTGTTGGAGGAGAACTTCCCTGATATGATGAAAGATAAGAATATATCCATCCAGGAAGTCCAACGAACCCCAAACAGGACAGACCCCAAAAGAAAATCACCAAGACAAATTATCATAAAACTCATCAAAACCAAAGACAAAGAATTCTGAAAGCAACATGGGAAAAACAAAACGTTACGTACAAAGGACAGCCAATTAAGAATAAGCTCTGATTTCTCAGCAGAAACCATGCAAGTGAGAAGGCAATGGGATGATATATATAAAATCCTGAAAGAGAAAAATTTTCAA